ACAAGGTAAGCAGACTGTGAGGGCTGGCAGGAGGGAGTAAAGTCTGCAATATCGCAGGTACAACATGTTCGGAGAGGCTGAGAACATGTCGCCGCCTTATGATGTATAGACCTCCTCCTCCCCCCCCCCTTCCACTTTCCCTCGCTTCGTCCTCCTACGCAACCACCTGCTTCCTCCTCCCTTCTCCAGCGATTTCCATGATCAACTGGCTCTTGCAGTGCGTCAATGGGCGGGGAGGGTTGTGGTCCAACGACGTCTACATCTTCACAGAGAGGTTTGTTAGGGAGGAGGAGGCGATCGAGCGCCTGATGATGATTGACATGCAGAGAGGCAGAGAAAGAGGAGATCTGAAAGATTCTTGTTTACACCTCACAAAGTCTAGATGTCGCATGGGATTATTTGTACAGTGAAGTCATTGATGCCATAGCACGTGGAGGAAGTGACTTCCTTCACTTCTTTGCAATGTCAGGGCGATAGCCCGGGAAGTTTGGGGCCTGTGGGAAGCCATCAGAACAAGAGAAGGGGGGCAGGTGGTTGGATGATGACAGTTGAGACAGGAGGTTGAAGAGGTAGAAAGCCAACGTAGGAAAGTCAAACGAGGACGTTGAGGAGAAGGGAGATTCAGCCAGGGCGGTGGAGAGAAAAGCAACGTTCTGAGACTCACCGTTCTTCTGTGGTCCTGTGCATTGAGATAAGCGTATCCTAGAGGTACAGTCAGACAGAAGTGCATGCCCTCGCGTCAGTGTGTACCATTTCATATGTTTTACTCCTGCTAGCTCAGATTCAAATCAACACCTACTTCGTGACACGAGCGAAGTCCACGAGAACAAGATGCCTCCTACTTCATCTTCAAGATGCCTCCTACTTCATCTTCAAGATGCCTCCTACTTCATCTTCAAGATGCCTCCTACTTCATCTTCAAGATGCCTCCTACTTCATCTCGATCTTGGTGAAAAGTAAGAAAATAGGAGGCTGTCACTAGGTCTCAGGATTGGCTATCGACTAGGTGAGTGGCAGATTCACCATCCATCAGATGAAAACACGCCGAAGCCTGTACAGGTACGCACATCGAGGCCCGACCAAGGGGTAGAGGACATGAAGAAAGTCAGGGTTAGATGAGTCTGACAGGAGATTACTACCAGTATCAGTGAGAGTCGAGGACAAAGCTTCGCTCGTGTACCACTAAATGAGATTGTTTCGCTATGAGTTCTCCATGAAGCTCTTCCATCATCGCACTGCGCTTGAGGCGACTTAATTCAATCGGAAATAACCGGTATTACTTACTTTATTATCATTCAATAGAATCGAAGGCTCGTATCGAGCTCTACAAGGCAGGCAGCAGCTGCTGCTGCCTGCCGGATCATCAAGTCCCATTGCCTTCCCCTACATGCCGTAAGCCAAGGGCTGCTGGCCATAGACTGGAGTGCTGATGCTGATTGGCATGGGAGCTGCTGTAGCGTAGTCTACGGGCAGGGCAGGATACGCCTGAGGCAGGTAGACGGGCACAATCACCTCGTCTACAGCCTTGGCGACAAGTTTAGGTGCGATAAGTTTGTAGGCAAGGAAACCAATCAGAGCTGCTCCGACGACGCCCGCGATGACGCCTCCAATGATGGCTCCGATGTTCTGACCTCCTGCTGATGTCGACGAGCTCGCACTTGCTGTGTTTAACCCTGTTCCAACGGCTCCGACGTGCACAGCAAGCTTGCGTGGGTCTGTCTTCCATGCAAACATCCGGCTGCTGGAGGACAGCAGGGCATTCTTTTGTCCGTTAGAGTATAAGCCCGCTACAGTGTCGTTGAAGAAGATTTCTGCTGTAGTAGCCGACGAAGTCGACACGATGAGTAAGGCGGGGCTGCTCCAGGTAGAGTCCAGCACGGAAGGTCTACTGGTGATGGAGTAGGAGTATGCCGCACCATCGGACACCGATAGGCTCTGATGGGGTACAGCCTGATCGCCCAGCATCTGACCAAAGGAGTCGAGCACAAACACTGGTGAGCCTGGCTCGAAGGGGATGGGCGAGCTCGCGTTGATGGCATTGGAGCCGTTGTGAGACAGGAGGGAGCTGTCCGAGCTCGGGTCAAACCCGTCCATCCTGTCCTGGAAGTAGAGAGGGTCTGCTGGGAACCTCCAGGGCTGGTAGGTCACGGGGTAATTGAGATTGGGTCTGATCAGTCTCTGAGTGAACTTGTTGGAGAGGTCGACCCCAAGGTAAGTCTGTTGGATCAGAGGACGGTATGAGTAAGTCACTCCTCCGACTGACTGTCCTTGCGCATCGCTGTCGATGAACCTGTTGGTGCTCAGCTGGAAGGATGGCCGACCTGAGACTCCGGATCCACCCGACAGCACATGGACTCCGGACAATGCGATCACTCCAGCAGCATTCATGCTGTAGACAGGCAAAGCTGAAAAGCCCGACGAGCCAAGCAAGCTTGACCTGACGTTAAATTGCCAGGAGAAGAGCGCGTTGGGGATGTTGTAGGGCGTGTTGGTCACGTGAGCAGCTGCTACCGTTCCTCTCAGTCCGCGGTCAGAAGCCTGGACTATGTTTAAGGCGGGCTGCCGGATCAAAATGATCTCATGATCAAGTATAGCCCACACGTCCTGATAGCTGCTGGAGGCCTGCAGGATCGAGCTCGGAAGGGTGATGGAGCCCAGCTCTGAGATGTACCTGAGGTGCTCGCTGCGTCGGGTCAGGGGAGTAACAGAAGACACTGGTGATGACGTCGTGGAGGTGGGAGCGGTCCATGTGATGTTTGCTCCGAGGTTGTGAGGGGCAGCAGCGGTGCCAGCTTGAGCTCGAGAGACTTGAAGGAGGTTGCCGTTGATGTTGTCTATGGTCATGATCTCGTTGTCGATAATGAAGTTGTTGCCCACTCGGAACCCAGAGGCGTCGAAGAGAATGACGCGCGTTTCGCTCGAGTTAACGGCTAGAGCAAGCTTTGACTTGGCGTAGCTCTTCTTCGAGACTGGTAGGAGCTGAAAGGTCTGAAACATATCCTCAAAGTATGAAGCACGAAGGTCTGAGTTATACCTTCCTGAGGTGAACTTGAGGCGTACTTGGTTCTCAGAGGATGAAATGACTTGTGCTGTCCCGCCCCAGGTATTCCACGAGAACAAGACGCTGTCACCGGGAGACAGTGCGGCACCATTGATGACGTCAAACCTCTCGTACTTGTACAAGACTGCTATGTCTTTGTTGAATGTACTGCCAAGCGAATCGGTGAATACAGCTACATTTAGAGAGTAATCTCCAACAGATTCAACTTGAAACATCGCATAACTTGACGTGCTCCCGTCAGCTATCCACACGAAGTCTCCCGGGGAGTAGAAGTCAGAGACTTGAGTGGACAAGGAGATAGTGTAGACAGCAAGTGGGTCAAATGAGCGAGAGACAGTGAAACTCGAGCTGAGGAGTCTCAGACCCTCAATCTTGACCAGAAAGCCGTATTTACCACAAGGAGTACCTGCAAAGTACAAACTTTCTACAGTGATGTTGTTTGATGCTGCATCGATCGCTGTCACCTTGTAAACTGTATGCCCATCGCTCACGTTGTCTCCAACTGCAAAATCTGATGTCCTTGACATGCTAACTAAACTGTTATTGACGTGGGTACAATACGGAGGATTGAGGTAGGCAGGCTCAGCAACAGTCTGCACAAGCGCTCCTGCTGACACGGTGGTAGCTTGTGACTTCCCAGCCCAGTCAGGGATCAAGCCTCGGAGCACACTACCGTCCGACTGATACTCCATCACTTCTATCTCTCCAGCGTTGTCATTGGCCGGGAACGTCCACAGCAGATCTCCGGATTGTAGTCCATAGGTGTTGGAGAAGCTCGCGTGCGTGCCCGTGTCAGTGATATCCTGCTCAAGGACACGAGGGTTGAACAGAAGGTTCACCGAGACCCCTTGAAAAAACTCTTGTGCATATGACTGAAACTGACCTCTTTCGACCGTCAGGTTCTGATAGAGATACTGCGATACTGTAGCAGTCTCAACACTCAACACCAACATCGCCTCGTAGTTCAAAACGTAATAGTTAAATATTAGAAGATAGTCGCCTGGCTGAAAGCCGGATGAGTTGGTATCCTTCACTGGGTCCTGCACATGTAGAACAGTGTCGCTGGAGCTGAGATGAGTTAGCAGTACCATGTTTGATCTATAGATGATGGAGGGGGCTGTTTGGAGCACACCCCCCTCGATGGAGACGGAAGCGCCTGACGAATCGGAAGAATTCACGCTCGGCGAGATAACTGTCAACTTCACTAGCACTTGTGTCGGGTACGATGAAGCTGATGTTCCTTCCTGTGCTCGCTTGACCGTGAGTTGGTTGCCGGAGATCGAAGTGACTGCCATAGACTCTTCCAGCACCTTGATCAAGGCCCCCACGAAGAAAAGGCTCGCGTCCGACACAGACATGGAGGTTTGATTGGCTGTGACGGCTTCTACCAGTACAACGGGATACTGCTGGGAGGGACGAACGTAGCCCACCGCCTTGAACGCGGCATGACTAGACGCGATGGTCCCTCCTTGTGCTCGAAGAACAGTCAGCGACGAGGCCCCTACGGCAGTGACGTACATGACTTCCTTCTCCACCTGGATGTATCTGCCCGACCTAAACTTGGCTGTATTTGACACATCGATGCTTGTCGCGTTCCTTGGGACACTCTGCAACAGCACGGAGCCGGGGTTGAAGGTCCTGACAACGGTGCCAGCACTGAAGGTCAAGGCTATGCTGGAGTTCAACGCGCCTCGAGTAACCGCGAGGGAGTTCTGCTCGACACTGATCGCGTCCACGAGGAGGATCTCATCGACGAGTCGGAGGTAGTCGCCCACCTTGAACCCGGTCACTGACTGCACTATCAGGAGAGCCGACCTGGAGGTCTGGAGGAGTCTACGAGCCGACTGATCTCTGAGAGCCACAAGAGTCGTGACGGGGAAGCTGCTGAAGGACCCGAAGACCGCGTTGATGAAGGCGGGTCTAAACAGATAGTCGACTGCGGTAACCTGCCCCGCGAGGTTGCGGACCGAGCTCTGATCAAAAGATAAGTCCCCCGGCCAGTAGAGAGGGCCCGGCTGAAGCGCTTCTGAGCTGGGGCTGTCGGTGAAGTAGAGAAGGATCTCCGCGCATGGATACGCTTGTCCTGAATCCGAGGGAAACTCGAGCCTCAGCGGGTTAGGTGAGCTAGGAGAGAAGCCGAAGCCCGCGTTGAGCAGCACTGGCTGCTGTGTCCGAGCATCCCACCCGATGGACGCCAGGGCCTCATCAGCGACCACGCTTGAGAGAGAAGCATCGAGAACTGTCGAGAGGTAGGAGGGACAGTTGTCTGCCGCGCAGGTGCTGGCGGGGCAAGGGAATGTAGCACATGGACTGCATTGCGAGGAGGCTGAGCATGAGGGCAGCGGGTTCAACTCTGCTTTGGAGTAGGCGCTTGTGCAGAGGTTGGATCCCGGACAAAGAGTCTTGACGACATACGCCCCGCTGCTGCACGTCGGTTGAACGTTTGCGCCTCCCTGTTTAAGCTCTGGTAGGGAGATGTTCCTGACAAGCTCGACCCTGGATGCGACCATCCCGCTCCTTGGGTATGCTCCGATAGTGGGAGCTGGACATGCGGGCAACGACACGGGAGAATCGACGACCCTGATGCTCGGAGTGGTCAAGTACCCGGATCCTGCGTTGATGACTCTGAGCACGTACTGGTAGGGAGCAGCATCTGCTGTGAAGCCCTTGTTGGCTGCTGTCGAGCTCGCAGACGGCTCGTTGGAATAGGGGTCCTGGCTTGTGTCGATGTAGTCGAGCACGACCTCTGCCTGCACTCCTCCTGAGGAGGGAGGCTCAACGATGACGCGCGGAGGTTGACAGCGGGAGGACGACGCGAAAGTCTCGTTGGCTGTGATCTTGAAGATCAAGGAGCCTCGTGGGCCTTGAAAGCCCTGGCTACGTCGAGCCGTGTAGACGTTGCTGTTGGAGTACGCCGAAGGCCCGCTCGACACGCGCATCTGCAGCGTCTTGCGGGTCCTGTAGTCTCCTCCAGCTCCATTTGCCGGCGAGCAGATCTGCAGCCCATCGCGATTGCTGGGGGAGAAGAAGGCGCTGGTCGCTACTGAATGCAGGCAGGTGCCCGAGCACTCGCTGCTCACTGTCGCCTCCACCTTGAGGTCTGAGGCAGTGCAGAGCTCGTTGGCGATGGAGTTGGCGTCCTTGTCAGCACATGCGCTGCTGGAACATCCACTGCAGCTGAAGGTCGCGATGGGTATGGAGCCAGAGCTTTGGTATCCGTACCCCTCACGGGTGATGAGAGCTCCGTCGAGAGTCAGACCTGTCTGCTGTGCCCCTGTGCCTGAGGGTATGACAAAACTCGAGTAGACGTTGGTTCCCTGGTATGCCGTGTTCAAGGAGAAGAAGGAGGGCTTGCAGAGTGTTGACTGGCTGCTGCTCAGATCAGCGTAGTCTTGTCTGTAGCTCTTGACTGACCCTCCGACGCTGAACTCAATGTCGACAACGATCGGGATGTTTGCATACCCTTGACCTTGCTGTACGATCTCGTAGCTCGGGAAGCTTGCTCCCGCAGCTTGAGAGACTTTAATCTTCAACACCTGCCCTCCTCCTCGTTGCGGAGGGCTGAAAACCAGCACCGACTGATCGCAGCTGAAGAGATTAGTCACTGCCGTTGGTCCATTGTAATGCACTATCCCAGTTTCCCCGTTGACAAGCCTCGACCCCGAGGCAGGAAAGGACCAGGTGGGGACCGCCAAGGCGTCGGCATGAGCATCGACCAGACCGTTGGTGTTGATGGCTGACGGACTTATCTTCACGCTTGTGAACCCAAACGCAAACCCTGCGACTCCCTGCTGAGGGATGGTCACTGCAGTAACTCGAGAGCTGTTCCACGAGGCGCCTGCCCTCAGCATCGTTTGCGTGACTGCAGTGCTGCAAGCCTTGTTGAAGCCGACTACCACTGGCGAGTCCATCGAGAAACGGAAGGCGGGAGCCTTGGACGATGATGTCAGCAGAGCCGACTGCATCCCTGTGTAGGAGGAGGCTCTTGGCCCGGCCATGTGGACGTCTGAAGTTGTGAAGCCTAGAATAGCCCGAGCACTGCCTCCTCCACATGGAAAGCTGACAGCTGGAGGATACTCGTACCCGTACCCTCCATCGATGACCTCGATCGATGCGATGCCGCCGTTGCCTGCTGTCCGAGCCTTTGCTGTCCTGCCTGAGGGCGGAGGCTCGATGGTGATGGGTCCTATGCAGGTGGAGGGGGGTAGCGACGTCACAACTATCGCACTCACGTATCCTGTTCCGACCTCGGCGTTTGACTTTCTTGCATCATATCGGTTGTAGAGAGAGACGGCAGCAAAGACGGAGGAGTGGAGGCCAGTGAGGGAGTCAAAATGATCTCGCTCGGGTTGATACATCATCAAGTTTGGGTCTGCTGTAACCCGCAGACGGGAGGTGAAGTTGTGCGACAAGTGTGCGATGGCGAAGGCGTCGCAAGGAGTGTTGGTGCTGGGGTTGGTCATAGTCACTACAGGGGCAAGCAAGTACCCACTGCCGGCGTTGGTGAGGACGATGCTGGTGATGGACCCTCCGCTGACAGTTGCGACTGCTGTAGCCTGAGAACATAGAGAGCTGTCGGACGGACACACGGGAGTGTTGGTCAGCCCATCCGTTACTCTGTCCCTGTCCGGACTGGAGATGGTTACCTGGACGTTGGCGCTGCAACTTGTTCCAGGTGTAACAATCTCGATCCGTTCGATGCCCGTCCTTTGCCCCTCGAGCATGAACACACCCAACAAGCTCCTACTGGACGTGCAAGTGCCGGAAAAGCTCGCAGGTCGGAGATATCCAGAGCCCCAAGTAGAAGGAGGAGCAAAAACAGGTTCGCTCCCTCCGACGGTTGTCATAGTCTGAGCGTTGTTGACCGTCAGCCCGTCCGTGGCCTGCGGTCCCTCGATGTCGCTTCCTTGGATGGTACAACTGTCGCCTGATGACATGCCTCCGCCGAACAGAAGCATCCGCGAAGCAGCTGAGCCCGATACTCTCACGTTTCGAAAGCTAATGGGAGAGGCAAACTGAAATCTAGTCCTCTCCTTGATCGTCTTGGAGGCATCGTCAGTAGAGCGAGTGATGAACGCATTCGTATCGCTTGGAACCGACCGGAACCTGTAGCTTGGAATGCTGATGCTAATGCTCTCGCCCTGCCTGATCCACTTCCCCTTCGCCACCTGCAGCTGCATCTGAGTGTAGATGGTGTAGGGCTTGTTCGACAGGTCGATGCTTCTGGGCTTGTTGCCCTTGAGGTCCGTCACCCAGTAGACGCCACCTGCTCCCTGCTTGATCACGTACTCGTTGGATCCGATCATTGCCGTCATGCCGGTGTATCGACCAACTTGCTCCTTGGGCGCAACCTGACAGTCGCTCAGAAACGACGTCGGGAACTCTTCTGCAACCACGAAGCATTGTCGTGCTGGGATGTAGTCGAGGATAGACTGGGTAATGACCGTACCGGTGACGTTGGTAAGGGAAACATCAAACAGAGGTAGCTCAAGCTGCTGGACTGCGGCGGGCAAGGCGACGCCTGGCTTGAGAGAGGTGGAGATAGAGGGAATAGCAGTATACCCGCTGCCTTGAGACGTTATTCTCGCACTCGCCACAGTCACGAGCACTCGCAACTCGGTGTTCTTCCCTGACACAGTTGCAAACGGATAACCAGAGTACAGGCCCGAGGCAGTGACATGCACAGCTGGTCTGCTGTTGTACAGAGAAGAGACGGTAGCGTTTGCCGGCAGCACTTGGTAGGTAGAATCGAAGACAATGCTGTCCCCAGCTGCCAACAAGCTGCCCGACATGAACTGTACTCCCACCACCTGGTACAGCAGCGTCCCCGTCGCCGCGTCTGTTGCTCCAGATGCCACGAATGTAGGGGCAGCGCCTGAAACACCCGAGCTCTCCGAGTATTTCCCGCTGACGACCGCTAGGCCTCCGTGTCGCACTCGCACGCTCGTGACTTGACCGCCGGCCGTCACAGTGTGCTGATTGTTACGGCACCTGAGCTGCATGCCGACATAGTCCGAAGGGTGAAGCAGGTTGATGCTGCTGTTTCTGTAGCAGATGTCTTGCGTGTATCCCAGAGACGACGAGGCTCCGTTCGTCACCTTCGTCAGCATCAGCGTCGTCGATGTCCCGAAGAGGGCGTTGCTGTCTGGTAGACCCCAGGGGCAAGACACTCGGCTCCAGCACAGGTCCTTGTTCTTGTTGTAGCCATCATCATCAGGCGAGAGCACAAACAGACCGTCGACATCTCCGTCCCCTGACCGATGTCTGTTTCCGTCTGCCACCCAGCCGTTGCTGACATATGCTCGAGCTCTATTCTCCTGGTGGTAGTTGAGCTCCCACTCCAGCTGCGTTCCGAAGGTGGTGAAGGCAGGGTTGGGAGAGGAGGTGACGCCAAAGATGGGACCAGTGACAACGTCATAGGCGGGCAAGTTGACAAGCAGCATGTCGCCCTCGTACAGGTTTTGCTCGGGAGTGACTGTGAAGACAACCTCTGAGCTGGTCTGCTCTGAGATCCGCAAGCTAGCCTCGGCTTGCACCTCGTATCCACTGTCAAGAGTTGCAGACACAAACGACGACCCCGACGTAACGGTCAAAGCTTGAGCGCTGGCAGCAGTGTTCTGGTTCACCAGCTGCAGCTGAACTGTGTAAATAGAGTGATCATAAATGAAGGCTTCGGCTTGAGCACCGCTCCCTGAGCCCGAGGGATCGACAATAAAAACCTGAGGAGGGAGCGTATAGCCTGACCCAGGTGCCGTCAGGCTGATAGAAGTCACTGCACCGGAGATCACGTTGGCAGTAGCTGAAGCAGAGGTGCCCGCAGCAAACACTACCCCAGCAGCTGTGCATGCCGGTATCGTCCAGAACTCGGCTCCAGGCGTAACATCACATATGATCACACTAGCAGACTGATACCCCGACCCTCCCGCTGTGACCTCCACCTTGTACAAACCTTTGGATCGTCGAGCATTCAGATTGTAGAACGGGTCGTACATGGAAGATGAGTACTGCGTTGAAGCCCCAGTGCAGGAGATCTGAATCGTGTTGTCAATGTACTTGCATACGCTGTTGAACACAGCGGGAGGTACAATTCCTTTAGAACGCTGATTGGTAACGGCATTGACAACCTGCGCGTTCCTAACTATCGTACATGGAATGTCCGAAGATCCAGCATTCTTCATGCTCACGAACGAGCCAACGGTGATAGTCTGACCCGAGGCAAGTGGATAGTTAGGCTGTAGCTCCATCGTCAACCAGACAGTGCTGCCAGTCACGTTCGACCCCGACCTGATGTTGGACGAGATGAACTTGCGATCGGATATGTAGCCCGCGCACCCTGACGGCTCAGAAGTGTAGCCGCTGACCTTCCTGGTCATGTCATTCGAGCAGAGATACGATTGAGCTCCTTGGAACACGGCAGGAGCTGATGTTGAAGCTACTGTCAACGAGACCTGAGGGCAAGTCGTCTGCCCTGTCTTCGAGTTAGTGAGCTGGAAACAAAACTTGTACTTGATGTCCTGCTGCAGCGATTGTGACGGAGCCAGCTGAAACTGTATGGTCGACTTGTCATATGTCACATAGTTGTCTTGCGGGCTTTCACCCACTGACTGAAACAACCCACTGGTAAGAGGCGATACGCCAAACTCATCGTACAAGGCAACTTTGGTACCAGAAGAGAACATGTTCAAGCCCGTGAGAGTGAAGGTCGTTGGGGCACTGATAGACTTGCTGGGTCTCAAGGTAATGCAAACAGGGTTGACAGCACCAGGAGAAGGGTTCAGCTGCCCGATGTCATACTTGTTGAGCAGCTTCCTCGTCAAGTAGAGCACATGCAAGTCTTGGCGCATTGGTGAAGCCATCGGCTGTGGGCTTGTCAGCTTGCTTTGAGCAAACTGACATGATATTGACACTGGAGGGCTGGCCTGCTCCGTAATGCCATTCCTGTAGACGTAACTCCACGCATAGGTCCATCCAGCGTACATACAATTAGAGGGCTGACCTTTGACAGGTAGCTGACAGGCCCCTGGAGCGAGGGTAATTACAAGCTCGCCTCGTGCATGGTCCCAGCTGGACTTCTGAATGTTGGGGAAATACTGGTCTGTGATGGCAGAAGCAGACAATGATGTTATGGTGGTGTCAGTTCCCGTGAGACCAGAGATGGTGATCTGCGGACTGTAGACCGAGCTCAATAGGTCCATGTTGGACCTCAACGTGACTGTAATGATGTTCTTCTCCTGAACAACTGAAGTCGACTGAGCGATCACTCGAGTAGGAAAATTGTAATCGTAAGTCTTGAGCACACACACGTCCCCGTCTGTCTCGCCGTCCTCGAGGGCCCTATCCACAGGATTCTGCACCATGCTCACTGTTTGTGTGACCAGGTGGTCGCCAGGGCCGACACCAGAGAAGCTCATCGTGACTGACTGACAGGGGTTGGAGACCTTCGGGTTCTTCAGCATCAGAGCAAACACGATGTCCTGCTGCTGAGGAATGGAATAATAGACTTGATTTGCAACGTCATCCTGATTGACGGTCAACACGGCTGATCCAGAAGACCAGCTTGAAGTACGATGAAGTGTTCCTCCAGTTATCTTATCTACGAAATGAGCTGTTGGCGGCTCAGACTCAGGTTGTAGCTGCATCAGGCTCCAGTCATATGACGGACAAGCCTTCAAATACAATGCTGTTGTTGTTTGAGATCCCTGCAGCCCTGAGATGGTGATCTGAGCCAAGTTGTTTTGTCCTTGACTATTGGACAGTGTCGAAACTCGGAAATTGCTTCTCAGCGTCACACAAATGTAGTTCACAACGTCAGGGCGAGTAGTAGATTGACCGATCTTGTACTTGATAAACCCAGGAGCTTGTACATAGCCGACTGTGTTGCCGATGTTCTCCACAGCCTCAGCGCTCACGACATCGCCTGCTTTCAGCATGCTGACAGTCATCGAGCACGCCGAATGAGCCAGGTTCAGGTTCTTCCAAGTCCATGAAAGAGCGTAGGTACCTTGAGCAACGAGGCTCAAGCTGCTCGCCACAGTGATCTTGAGGGGTCCTCCGTTCCAATCCATCCTTGAGCCCGGCCAGTAGTCTGCGAGGTCAACCTCGGTAGGGTTGCCAGTGCACTTGTCGGTCAACGGAGTACCGCCGTTGATTCTGTTGCTGACTAGAGTCACGTACGCTGACTTGCTCTGCGTGCCGCAGAGTCCCTGAATGCTGATGACAGACCCAACCTCAACGTTGAAGTTGGGCCGGAGCGTCACAAAGATGTTGGTCCATGAGCCAGGATCGCTTGAGCTTTGAAACATCGACACCTTCAGCTTCTTGCCAACCACCTCTAAGATCCTCGACGACGAGTGGAATGGAGTTGGTGGAATCTTGATTGCTACTGACTTTGATGACGTGCAGAAATCATTAGCTAGACACGCTTGCCCGGACAATGACACCTTCAATTCTTGTGAGACCTGCGTGTTTCCACCCGTCAACAGACCAAACGAGAAGGTCAGGACCTCTCCAGCTTGAATGTAGTACCCGGGTATGAGTTGAAAGGTCAGGGTTCCGTCGGCCTTGAAGTCTGCTGAGCCGACATGGTTGATGGTGGTTGAAGTTCGAAACCTCGCAGGCATCAAGTCCTGCACAGGGCTTGAGCCTTGGCATTGACATTTGTTTTGAAAGAGCTGAATGGGCTGACTAGCACTCGAGGATCCAATCAGTCCTGTCAAGGTGATGGTGGTTGGGTTGACGGCAGCTGAGTAGAGAGTGGTCGAGCTGATCAGAGTGACGGTGATGCATACAGGTTGGTTCGGCCCGTCATTGTTCCCTGACGCTGCTGCATACACGAAAGCGGGAGGAGCTACGGTGCCCACGCCTCCAGCTCCTTTTCTGGTAGGGATGGGGGGATGGTCTGTCCCGAACCTCACTGACCGATACTGATCGAAAGGAACTTGATATACCAGGAGATCGCTGGTGCAAGCCGTCGACGGGAAGTCACTGATCGCCTCCACCGCGCAGCCTTGCAAAGATCCCAAAGCCTGATACACAGCCACATTTGCTAGCTGATACCACTGCTCATCAATACCTCCGATGGGCGGCAATGGGCCCAGACCATTCTGCTTTCCATGGACATCGTAGTTCTGGTACATTGAGACCTTGCTGATGTACACGCCTGTGATGGGCTTTGAGGAGGACATCAGCAAACGAAGAGTCTCTTTCTGCGAGTCCCAGTGACACATGGAGAAGGAGCTTGCATTGAGCTGCTTGAGATCAAACGCATTCGATGAGAGATCCTGTGTTATTCCAAAGCATCCTCCTACCCCAGGACCATTCTCAAAGGAAAATTGGCTGGAGACAGGAAGACCTGTCCCCCATGTCTTGGAAATGCTTTCGGATATTGTAATCACTCGACTTTGCTTCATCCACATGACGTTGGTCTCCGAGCTGTCCGACCTGTATGCACCGAAGAGGTTCGATCCTCCCGTGAATCGCGGGAGATACACCTCGATGACTGTGTTGGACGCAAGAATATCATTCCCTTTGCTCCACGCTCCCAGCGATCCCCAGTAAATCTTGAGATCAGTAGCTTTCAAATCAGAGGTCCCTCCTTCCATCTGAAGCTGGGCCGTTTCCGCGACTGTGTACTTCATCCCAGATTGCGTGAAGACAGCGGCATGCAAAGGGTTGCTCATCAACTGAATGAGCAGCAAGATCGCCTAAAGAAAGGTCAGCATACGAGCTCAACAACAGAAGAACAGGAGCACCTGTAGCCCATGCATGTGGGCGGGCATGGCGTCCAGCGCAGCGCACGCGCGAGGAGGAGGCCCTGAAGGAGGCAGAGAGAAAGTAGGTTCTTCTCGGGGTCATGGTACAAAATGAGAAATGTCGGTGACTGAGGGGGTACGGGTCCTTGTGGACCATTTCGTACTAGGAGGGGTCAAGTCAAAGCTGCAGTATTTCTAGGTGGTAGGGGGCACATTTGACATGATGACCACCCCCTAAACTCGGGGGTCACAGGGGGTGTTGGTACAAACTTCACAGCTCAACTAGGACCATTTTAAAAAGGAACAGTACTGACATGTCTTCATGGGGAGTCTTCGTGGGGAGTATTGCTTTACAAAAACAGAAACGGCCCTTGTGAAATTATTGGGTCAGTTTTTGACACCCCTTTAACCAGTCGCCCAACGCTTTTAAATCGATTTGAAATCTATATAGATATACAAGCGAAATTGTCATGTCCCCTCGCCAATCAGTGAGCCGCACGTGATTTTACATCCCAAAGCGTCCCTAATCTTTTTTTTGGCGCACCAAACGGATAGATTTCGAAAATTTAAAAGCATGTATGGTGCACTGAGAAAGAAATAGCAATTTTAGATGAAGGACCTACCCAGATTGGGGGGAGCCTTTCGATTTGAAACGTGCACGACGACGCAATGGCTGATCAGGGAAACGACGCTGTATGTGCGTCAAATTCTCTCACACAGCCAGGTCTGATTGAGCCTGACAAGCAGCAGACTCGAGAAACAACAGAGGTGTTGCTGTCTGATGTCCAAGACTTCCGGTGGTTCTGGGAATAATTCTCAACCGTATGGAGATGGTGAGGAAACATGGCACGATGTCATAATATATGACATCGTGCCGAGAATAGTTGTTTAGCAGCAGCAATGTTGTTGCTGCTGCTAAACAACTATCTCATGAGCAAGCCACTCACCCAATAGAACTTATAAAACATGCCCTTCACCGACCGAACTGAGATACGTCAGTGGGCAACAGTGCTAACACATGTCAGGCCACATCTGTCAAGAAGCAGACGACTATCGCTCCGGATGCAATTCTTTGCAAGAATTCAGTATGCAGACACTGACAGCAAGTATTGACCGGAGCACGGAGAGCCTTGTAGGAGCTCTGCATCAATCTCGACATGATGATATGCCAATGCGCAATGCGAATTATGAAATCAGCTCCTATCAGAAAGCCAAACAGTGATCACATGACTTCATGTGAAGTCATGTGATCACTTTACATGAAGTCACGTGATCACTTTTCATGAAACCCTGTTGCCAACTTGTGCACTTCAAACTGATACCATTTCTTTAAATTTATCTTTGCTTTTTTGAGGAATGTTTAATTGATTCACTGTTGTGGATTCAAGAACTCTTCTAATGAAATCGGCAATAAAGTAGAAATAACGTTCGATGGTTGATCGAATCACGACAACGCTTCTCCACCATGAAAAATTGTTTGGCATCCTCTTCCTCCTCCTCTTCTCCTCCTCTTCCTCCTCCTCTGCCTCCGTCCTCCTCCCTCTTCTGCTGACTATCTTGGCGTCGTCATGAGCATCTTCAAGTTCATGGTCTTGGCTGCTATTGCTGCTACTGCCATGGCGGCGCCGAGGTACAAGAGAGTCGGATGCTATCGCGATGCGGACATGGGTGAGTGAACGAAGAGGATAAGGAGGGTTACAACTAAATCGTCCTTGTCCTTGCCCTTGTCCTATCCTTGCCCTTGTTCTCGTTGCTCTTGCCCTGCTATGGCTCCTCCTCCTTCGTGGTCTTCCTCGTCCTCGTCCTCGTCCTCGTCCTCGTCCTTGTTCCCCTCTCCTCCTCGATGTAACTCCTCTTTCACCTGCTCTCTCGGCACCAGGAGGAGGAGAGCGGGTGATCCCGTCTCTGGAGCACACGGACGCGAGGCTGAACGACAACTATCGCTTCAGACGTGCCCCCATCAACAGCTGCGCGCAAGTGGCATGGGACAGAAAACTCCCTGGGTTTGTCCTGCAGGCAAGTGCAAGAGCAGTCGCCTTCCTCTATCCCTTCCCGCTGACTCGTCGACCTTTCGGGCAGGATGGCGGATGGTGCGGAGGGTCTGAGAACATGCTCACAAGGTAAGCAGACTGTGAGGGCTGGCAGGAGAGAGTAAAGTCTGCAATATCGCAGGTACAACATGTTCGGAGAGGCTGAGAACATGTCGCCGCCTTATGATGTATAGACCTCCTCCTCCCCCCCACCTTCCACTTTCCCTCGCCTCGTCCTCCTACGCAACCACCTGCTTCGTCCTCCCTTCTCCAGCGATTTCCATGATCAACTGGCTCTTGCAGTGCGTCAATGGGCGGGGAGGGTTGTGGTCCAACGACGTCTACATCTTCACAGAGAGGTTTGTTAGGGAGGAGGAGGCGATCGAGCGCCTGATGATGATTGACATGCAGAGAGGCAGAGAAAGAGGAGATCTGAAAGATTCTTGTTTACACCTCACAAAGTCTAGATGTCGCATGGGATTATTTGTACAGTGAAGTCATTGATGCCATAGCACGTGGAGGAAATGACTTCCTTCACTTCTTTGCAATGTCAGGGCGATAGCCCGGGAAGTTTGGGGCCTGTGGGAAGCCATCAGAACAAGAGAAGGGGGGCAGGTGGTTGGATGATGACAGTTGAGACAGGAGGATGAAGAGGTAGAAAGCCAACGTAGGAAGTCGAACGAGGTTGAGGACGTTGAGGAGAAGGGAGATTCAGCCAGGGCGGTGGAGAGAAAAGCAACGCTCTGAGACTCACCGTATTGGAAGCATACTCGGATCCAAGGTCCCAATCAAGCGAGTACCTTCAACACATATCAGTGAGCTGGACCAGGAGAGGCTCTTACGAGGATGCAGGTATTGGGGGAAGAGAGCTGCTGGAAGGGATCGAGGGAGGAGGTGGGAGAGCAGCGGGAACGGATAGAGGCAGGAGGAGAGGGGCAGGAGGGAGCAGGAAAGTTAGATTACCCGGCCTTCTCCAGGGTCGCCTTCAGCCTCATCTCATGCTCGTGGCCGGAGACTTCGACAACAACCTGAAGAAATGTTCGCATGAGAGGACGGAGAGGGAGGGGGAGAAGGGCATAAAGCAAGGATGCAATCGGCAGGGACATGCATAAAGGTGGAAACGAGGAGGAGGGAGTGAAGAATTAGGAAACTTCACGTACCTTGTTAACCACCTGGTCCACAGAGGTGTGGAGCCATGCTCTCTCATGGGCAATATCCCACACGGAAGCGCCTGCGGAAAGTGAGCATGCGGTCGCGATGGCACTGGCTGGTCTGACCGGCAGAGAAGATGATCTGAGTGAGCGCGGCCAGTCCCCCTGGGCGATCGGAGACAGTCGCCTGTTCAAGTGATGAGATGAAGCAAGGAAAGGGATGTAGCTAGAGAACAAATACAGCAGCATCCAGATCATCATGATGGTAGTAGCGGTGATAATGATGGTGACACGACAATGATGATGATGAGGAAGTAGAGGAATAGCTCATTATCTCACCGCAAAGCGCACAAGTCTTCTATCAGCGGCGAGGCCTCGCTCTGCGTTGGTATGGCGTCATCATCTCCCCTCTCGGCTCCCTTGCCCTCACCAATAACTCGCCCGAGCATGGTGATGTCGATGTTTCCACCACAGAGCGGAACCACAACCTGAGTAGCAGTCAGACAAGCTTCCTGCCACCGCAATGTACTTCACCTTCTTTCCTTTCATCTGGGGAACGTCCAGAGGTCCTCCTGGAAGGAGAGCAGCAAGGCCTGGCATCTTGCATTCAGACAGAACGAAGACTAGAAAACACAAGTGTGGAGGAGAAACTCTTCATGATAGAGCATGATAGACAAATGAGGACTCTTCTTCAGACCTGCTGCTCCTCCTCCCTCAACCACAGCTCGTTCATGCTCCAAGAGCCTCAAAACAGCAAGGGCAACCAGCTTCTCATTGATCTGAAAGCGCAGCGTTCACGCATGACATGATCATTGATCTCATGAGGTACCAAGACAGTCTTGTCGACGAAGTGCCTGGTATGAATGTCAAAAAATTCGGGATCGAGCGGCAACGTTTGCGCACCTGGCGACAGCGAAAGAATGGGGCCCAACAGTAGGGACAGCAAGACCGTCTGAGGAAAAAATTCAGCGAGACTGAAGGGATGAAGTAGGTATCGGAACCTGCGAGAGTGTTTGTGATGGTAACAGGGGTTGGCTCTCCAACTGCAGCCCTTACAATCAGAGCAGCTTTTAGCGACACATCATCACTTTCACACCTTCCAATGCTTTGGTGTAAGAAGCTGCCTTCTCTGGCTCGACACCGATGATCTGCCATAGCACACACGAGTCAGTTGATGTTATACATGTTATAATGACATGTCAAGAAGAGTTCATGGAAAATGTAATTGGTAAAGCATCTTTCTCATTGACTTGTGCCATCACCTGAACTTCTGGCCTCAACGTCTTGACGGCCATGGCGATGCCGGCAATGAGTCCCGCCCCCCCGACAGGCACAACAATCACATCTACATCCGGAACCTGCATTGGAGGAGGAGAGAGGAAGAGGAAGAGGAACAGTGAGTTAAGTCGACAAAACTGGAGGCTAGACGACCTGTTCAAGGATCTCAAGCCCGATAGTTCCTGCCCCAGCACAGATAGGAGGATCGTCGAAGCTAAAGTACAAGTTAGGAAGGGCACAATGTCTCAGCTACGAGCAATACCCATTGATGTACTGCATTCCCCTGAACTCCTCGCTGTTCAGCGCGTGGTCCTTAGCCTGCACAGAAAGTCAGCACCATGGAAAGTGTCAATCATTTCATTCCCGACCTCGCCGATGTGCATGCCGTGGAGAACTACTCGCGCACCCTTGAAAAGCATCATCAACATGCAAACAGGATGACGACAAGGAAGAGAAATGGACTACCAGCTTCTTGCATCTCTCGATCTTCGTGAGAGGAGCTGATTTCACGTGAATTGAGAAAAAATTCATCTCCACAGAACTCGATATACCGATCGTTGGCATGATGACAGTCACAGGAATTCCCTGCAGGTGACTTTCAGCATAAGGAAGGGTCGCTGCTTATCCTCACCATCAATCCTCCATGATAGGACAGGGCAAGAGCATGATTTCCTGTACCCAGTTTTCACATAAATTCATGCCGCTGCCGACCTGAAACACCTGCACTGGCTGCGATGACTCCTTTTCGCTTCTGCTCATCTGGAAGAACAGCAATGTCATTGAGGCTGTGATCATATAACCCCGAAGGAGGAGAAGATGGTAAGATATGCAAGACCTGTGAGCTTTTCCAGAGCGTTTCTTGCTCCTCTCTCCTTGAAACTCCCTGTGAACTGTTTGTATTCATGTTTGAGCCAGAGATCAGTTCTGTCCATTCCAGCAGTCAATACACGCATGGGCTTCTAACTGCTCATACCCAGTGATCTCGCTCAAGGCGTCATTCTTTGTAGTCGGAGTGTGATACACATGTCCTCGAATCTGCTTTTCAATGAGGAAAACATCTGATGTACCTGCTGACGTTACCTTATAGGCAGCTTTTGAGATGTCTTCGAACTTGAGAGGAAGGTCCAAACTTTTGGCCACGAGTCAGAGACAGCAAGATGCAGTAGTCTTCAGTACGGTATGTCATCCTTCTTCTTTCCAAGGAACACAGGACTCGGGGTTGCTCCTCTTCGATTTTGCTATGTCAGTGTCCAGATAGCTATCAGCATCAGAGGGCCTACTTATGTTCGGTTATTTGATCCAAATCCAGCCCGACTTGCAGATTTGTCAAGCCCGTCGGTTTTTGGATCTGATTGAAGTCAAAAAAGCGACGAGCCCATATAGATCTTTGTTTCACACCTCAGTATTCTTCCCCACTTTCACGCCGTTATTCTGATGATAGTCGTTCTTGTTTGAGATCGACATGCGCAATGACTGCAATCATACACATCAACACGACATCAAATGTCAATGACAACTGCAAATTACATTGCATTTACGATTGATAGCCTGTTGCCGTGCAAAACTCCCAAACTTTGCTGGGCCTTGCGCTGTTATCGATGCCAGTTAGATCTTCAAGGGAGAGAGCAAACATTCAATCTTCACCATGGAAGGCATCGCCATATTGTATGATTTGGGCTACGCATGCCGCAAGCATGATCACTGTAGTTCGCATCTATTGAAGAAGCCGTCAGCCATTTTTCGATCAACAACATACGGTCGTGTGTTTCAATCAAAAATAGCAAGGTTGTGAGATTTAAAGCTTCTATTCGTATGCTCGTGATCCTTGGTTTATAAGGTCAAAGTATCCAATTGTGCGCAGTACACGGATCGTATTTCCCCTCAAGGAAACATCAAGGGGATGGAGTCGGAAGAGCTTCAATGCTTAGGAAGGTTGGTTAGAGCACTTGCCTGTCTAGGCAAGCTAGGATCTACAGAGGTTCAACAAACGGGGAAGAGAGGAGAGGGAGGGAGAAGCAGGAGCAGGAGGCTTCAGGAATGGAAAGGTCGCATGGAATCTACTGTCTAGTCAGGATTTCCAATTTTCTCCCCCAGGGTGGACGGTGCCGTCAAGGTGCGGTAAAGGTGCCTGTGCAGGGGTAGGGGTGGTCCTGAAAAACCATACATAGAGACATCTGAAACAAATTCAGGTCATAAAGGGGGGTAGTGATGTATCTGGGTGGGTGGTGAGTATCCTGGGATGCAAAAGGGGTAGGCATGAATTGGAGCTAAAGGCAAAATACTCAGTTGGCGGTTGCAGATAGCGGGAAGGTGTGGCTGGTTGCATGGGTGGAGGCATGTTAAGTCTAAAGGGTGGGTGTTTTTAGGTAAAATGTAGGGTACAAGAATGTAGATGATTGACCTCAATATTATGGTAGGTCATCTCACTAGCCAAGTAATATTGGCAAGTACAAATCAGTGGGTGTATTTCTCAAAAGGGTGCCTTCACCAATGTAAATTCATATTTTTATTTGATATATGCAATTTGATTTCAAAGTTTTATTGAATGATTAGATTTTTGTATTGATCAGTTTGTAAATGTCGGTCACAGACTCGCTTGCAAATTAGTTTGTGAGCTGAGTACCTCCACCCCCCATTTGCCTCGATGCAAGGACCCCCTACTGACATATGCCCCCTACCGTGCGGCAGGCTTCTTTTACAGCTCAACTGCTCTCGACTCCCGTAATACCGCATTCGGTGACGGTACTACTGACTCAGACAGTGAGTGGCCCAGTGTGTCGGCCCGGCGCGCCGCCGGCGGGCCGTGCCACGGTGTGCGAGCCCGGTCGGCCCCGGCCGGGCGCAAGGCCGGCGGGCCGGCTCAGTAGCATCATCAGGGCGGGCCGGGGCGCCTGGGCTCGGGAGATCAGTGAAATAGGAATGGCCACTACTGAGCCTGAATTGATCGCCGGCAGTGAGACACCGAGGGAATCAGTGCCACTGATGATGCGGCCACGGTGATCGGACTCGAGGAATGGCGGGCCTACACGGCATGTACCGTGACCGTCTCAGGCTCACCGGCGGCTCCGACTCGGTGCATCGGGCCGTGAGGTACTACCGCCGGCGCCGGCGCCCGGCCCCGCCGGCGCCGGGCCGGCCGGGCTGCGCCCCCGGACTGCGCCTTGAGACTTGCTGAGAGAATCGTCGGATCCGGGATCCTATGGTCATTTCTGCTCTGGTCCCGTTTTTATGGGTCAGCATTACCTCGGAACGTTGCGAAAGAGCATCGATTCTTTCTCATTCGCTTCCTCAATAGCAGCGAAAACATAGGAATTCGATATTTATTACTATTATTCATGATAAAAATATATGAAATTGTCAGCAGAGCCTTCTCACGGTCCTCAGGCTTTCGGGACCTCCGTGGTAGTAAATCAAAAGAGGCTACTGGGAGGGGTGGGTAGGTAGGGCAACCCTAGTATCTCTATGTATTATATCCATTAGCTGGGTACCTTGCAAACTAGGTAAGTCTTGATGGGTGGGTGGCAGAAGAAGCGTCCAGTGGGTGGGTGACCCCCCACTTTTAATATTAGTTTAAAAATAGCGGGCTGATACTTGTCATTTTATGTTTAAAAGAAGTCTACCTACTATTTTTATAATTGTAGAATAAGACTATCAATTCTGTAATTGACTGAATAACTTATGTATACAACTTACAACACTCTATCCATGATTCAGAGCCACAATTAACCATGTTTAAACAAAAAACAAAGTACATGTATAATGTGTGGTACAATATATAATACATTTACCACTTTTACTACGGGGTGGCGCAACGACACAGACGACCTTCCGCCGACGCTGCTATGCTGCCCCTGCTACCATCCTGCAGTCTAGCAATGGTAGCACAAGACAGGGAGCAAGAGAAGAGATCCATCATGCGATGATGTTGTGAAAGGACCTCTCTAGTCGTATAAGATTGATTCCTCATATTGTCTCTGATCCAAAGTGGATTGGACAAGCCTATCCAGGCCTCACTGTTACGACCCTCGTGCTAGACTGAGTTGAACAGCGCAGAGCTAGAGATCTGAAAGATGAAACCCCTATAGGATTTAGAATCAAGCCATAGCCGATTTCTTGAGGCGAATGCTCATTCGTTTTGGGTTCCTCTGAATTGATTCGCATCATATTTCCATGCTTGTTCGCCTCTGCGTACCGCACCTCCTCATGGAACCTAATGTTTTCTATCCCATATCTCGTCTCAACCTACACATCTTCCACTGCAATGTGCAACGTTCTGAGCTTATTGATTGTCAGGACTTCCCTCATCTGCCCTCAAGATTTCCTGGCTTGAAGAGATCTTCAAGTTGTACCTGCGAATTGCTCAAAAACTGCAGGGTTGATTTTTTGTAGGATGTCTGCGGGTGCTAAGTCAGGGGCTAATGGTAGTGTGCTTTGATGATATTTGAATTATGTCCTTGACACCTTTGTTTCACTCTTTCTGAAGACTCAGATCACCATTCATCAGAGCGGTATGATTTCGGTCTTTTGCTCCCCCGACTTCAATGTTGACTTGTTCGTCCTTCAGTGAAAATCTGTTATCGGGATGGCTGAAGAAATTCTATAACTCGCAAAAAACTGTATTTATTGTTTCTAGTTGGTTTTGTCGCATAATTTGTTGAAAAGGAGCTGAAGCCTTGGGTGTTCTGCGATGGAACCAAAGGATTTTCATATATTGAGGTTAGTGTCGAAGTTTGATCACTGTCATTGCTCAATATCGGTGTCAGGTTACGGTAAAAGGAGCCAGGCACAATAATGAGGATACGTCGTATGCTGGTCTCGTCGTTCTCTGAGCAGCTGCGTGAAAGTAATCCTTTGTGCAGATGGCAAGCTTTTTGGAGTCTTTGATGGGCATGGTACATTAGCTTTGAGCAGCACTTTAAGGATCTAACTGCATTATTTTAGGAGGAAAGCATGCGTCGTCGCTACTTAGGATAAAGTTGGCGGAGTGCTTTTATAAGTGAGCTGCTTGTATTCTTCAGGACAGGACATTGATTTTTAAACAGCGAATTGGGCGCAACTGATTTAACCAAAATTTGTGATGAAGGATCCCCTCCTACGGTATGTCTAATTAATTATTGTATACCTGAATCATAAATTTTCATCAAACAGGTTGTGAAAGCACTAGATGCAGCATACATCAAGTGTCAGGTAATTTGAGATACAAGGGCTTCCACAGGTTGAATTTGTATACAAGGATCTGATGCCGACGGATTATCCCCTTGCACAATCAGGTATCTTATCAAGTGTGTGGAGATGGATCGCGTGTCTAATGGAACGTTTCAGGATCAACTGCTGTTGCATGCTGGGTTCATTCGAATGACCCCAACGGCCCAGCAACCAAAGTAATCCCTATTCCTGGAGAATTCATGCTTGTGACTCTCTTCCAAACAGGTGTATGCTTCATGCCTTGGGGATTCTAAGGCCCTTGTTTTCGATAACAAAACTGGAGGTTGGTGCCTTAGATTGGAGGAAGTATTCTGACAAGTACCAAAGCAATCATGGAAGGCTCAATGCGAGTTTGGGACGAGGAGCAAGGCACTTTGAGTATGGATACTTTTTTGCTTCACCTCATATTGTGATCAATTTTTCAAAGAGGGCAAAGGCGTTACCAGAAGCGGGCGGTATGAAACAGAATCTCACGGTTTGACTGGAGACTTGAAGGTAAACCAACGTTAGAGTTTCTCTTGTCACGTGTGCCTTAAGATTGCCAAGGATGGATCTCCTAGCGGCATGAACAACGATCCGACTGGAGTTGGTTTCAGAGAATTTGAGCTGCTACGGAAAAAGCACAATTTTGCACCTTCGCGGAGACCATTCAATATTAGTAACATGCCCGGAGAGGAGCGTTGGAGGGTGAGAAATCTTTTGCTGTGATTTTTGGTTGGATGATAGTGTGTTGTGCAGGTTTTGGAGGTAGAACCGACGCGTGCGGTCGGGCATCGCATGAAGAAGGAACATCCGCTGCAGCATCCAGAAGTTTTCGAGTGGAAGGTGACCAATGTTGAATGTTTGTTTGTGTAGCTTATTGTTTTTCAGATTGCAAATGGCGCCAGCCAGTGTTTGCTTTTGTCATGTGATGGATTTTTTTCCAAGGAGGCCTTCAGGACCCCAGATATGGTTACGCATTTCCTCACGGACCCTGTTGGATATTGCAAACGGCCAGATTTCTTCACCGGCACCTGTCTAGAAGCCTTGCTCATCAAGATTCATGAAGCCGATAGTCTCCCCGACCCAAGTCAAACTTCGATGAGCGAGCTGTTTGATGCCGTGTTCAATGTTGTTTACAACAAGCTCTCGGATGATACTTGGACGTCAGCATACGAGTCAGCCCACGAATACTTGCAAATGTTTGCAAACGAGAAGCCAGTCCCCAATATTAGAACAAGTCCTGCCAAGACGATATTGGCTGCTTGCTATTTGGCAGTCTTGATGGTTAGCGACGACAACGTTTCTTGCTCGATGGTCATTTTAGATGGCAAGAAGCATTTCAATGGGGAATCATTTGAATTGGGTAAGTTTGAGTGTGGTCGACCACTTCTCGCTTACAACTTTCTAGGTGTAGCTGCCCACGAATGCCCATGATAGTTTAATCTGTTCTCTATCAGCCACTCTGAGACAGGGCAAGTGTCATGTAATATTTTTGAGATTCTCAGTTCTGCGACTTTGAGGGGAACTTGTCATGGATGGCATGTTTCCAAATCTGTGATTTTGGAGGCGAAATGTAGATCGGTGTTGCACAGATCGGTTGGGTACCGCCAGGTCTACCTTGAAGGCACCCTTGTAAAGAAATCAGCGATAGGAGAACTCTAGCAGACTTTTTTTGCTGGCGCAGCTCCAAGTTGATGTGAGATGAAATATCAGGAGCATTGAATGTCAGAATGCTTGCATGACGCAATTAAACTACTTCATCAGAATTCTTTGCTTTGTGATGAGGATTCTTCGTGATGATTGCCTCAATGTCGTGGTGCAATGCTTCGAGAAGCAACGAAAAACTTGAAGATGCTGAAGGGATTGCTCCACCGGCCTGCCTCAAGTTCGTCATCATCATAGGGTAGGAGAAGGAAGACAAGTCAAGCACCTGAGCGAGGTTGATGGGAGTTTGTGTAAGATACCTCGCCATGTCGCGGCGAGGAGGCCACCATTTGAGCCCACCGCTGAATGGCAGCCCGAGCTTAGCGCCCTTGATGCGCCTTTGTCAGCGAGGAAACGTAGAGATGGAGAGGAGATGTAGAACGGTCATGTAGGACAGGAGTGCAGCTGAGAAGAGACGTGCGGTACCGGGTTGTCGTACATGCCCGGGAGCGCGTCGATGATGATAGAGATAATCCGAACACCTCGGCGGAAGGCTTCAACAAGCTGCTTGCTTGCTAGAGGATCGTCGAGGAACTCGGCCGTGAGGCATGCGACGAAGATATCTGACTGCTCTGACGATGAGACCGCGACATCACAAGTTTACAGCTCGACCTTGCTGATCTTGTCTTTCATAAGGGACCATGTTAGCTCGTCCGAGGCCTGCCCGAGCTGGCCGGTCTTGCGTTGCTCCTGCGAGCTCTAGTCAAGAACTCTAAGCGAGGAGAGAGGTCGGGAGACTGAGGCTAAAAATTGAGAAGAGTGGAAGAGGAGGGACGGGAAGGTTTGATCGAAGACTCTATGCTGACCTGCTCCAACTTCAGGGCTGCCATCCTGTTAACACGTTTCTGCTTCAACTTCTCCTCTCTATCCTCCATACTCATCTGAAACGTTTCTCATCAGTAACATATCCTCCTCCTCCTCCTCCTCCGTGGTACATGTGTATACTCGTCCTGCTCCTTCCCGAGCTTTCTCAGCTCTTCTTCATGTTTTTCTTTCAGATCTCTCAGCGACTTGTCAAAAATCGCCAGCTCCCTGATGTAGTTGCTGTAACTTTGTCAGTGTGTCGACACCCATCAGACCAGGACAAGTACTCGTATTTGAGCTCTCTGTCCTTCTTTTGATACTCTCTCTCTTCCTCTCCTGTAAAAACCGAAGACGACGTCTGGCACAGGCAGGAGCATCAGCAGGAGCAGTGTGTACAAGTTTCTTCACTTCTTTGGCGTCTTCGAAGAGGGGGGAGCTGTGTAGAAGAAGTCAGCCTAGAAGCTGGAGCATAGGGGGAGCATACATAGGTTTCTTGGAGATCAGGACGTTGATTTCGTCTTCTTGACGAGTTCTCAGGTCAGAAACAAGCTTGCTCTTCTTGATGATCAGCTTCTGATAGAGGTCTGAAATCTCCTCCTGCAAACCGAGTACGTGAGGAGTTCTTCTGACATGTTGGTCCTGTTTACCTCCATCTCCTTGTCGAGCCTGTCTTGTAAGTTCATGTACTCCGTCACATCGTATTCATCCTTCTCAGCCTGCAACGAGCTAACGGAGTACATGAGACAACTCAAACCCCTTGACGCCTGGCATCCGGTAAGACGAGACCAATCATACAGCATTACCGCCACCACAGCATCCTTGATGCTTCTTGCCTTCTCTTGTACATCTGCTCTGCACCGGAACGAAATGCTCCAGTACACCTGAACCTGCGCGATCTTGTCCCGCAGGCCGCCCGTGGTTGCTTCCTGCGGCAGCTTCACCTTCTCCCCATCTAGGTAGCCGACTACCTTCTCCTCCTCCTGGTTGTCCTCTGCGGTCCTCTTGGAGATGCTCTCAGCTGGAGTCCTGACGGGAGAGAAGACAGATGGCATCGCTCCATTGCTTTCGCTCTCAATGCACATTCTTCTCAGCGCCACATGCGCGCTGTCTGAGATGTCTCTGTCCTCGTCCATGGTGGCATCGATCATGGCGGACACGACCTCTCGGTCGCTGGGCTCAGCGATGTAGCCCAGCACGTCGATACAAGACTTTCTCAGCTGTATGACATCCGTCTTGACCCTCCTCGTCATCAGTCTGGTCACTTCCAACCGGACCCTCTTGAAGCTCTCCTCCTCGTACATCCTCTCCGCCCGGGCAAAGCTGAAGAGCTGCACCACAGCCTCCAGGGGAGCTACGGGGATGTTGTTGTACGATGAGAGCTGCGAGGAGGGTGAGCGAGAGAGCAGGAGGAGGTGTGGGGTGACCTGAAGCTGGTGGTAACCCGACAGGTGCTGGTCTGACTGGGGAGGAACTTCGTTGACCCAGTCGGCCATGGCCAGACTCTGATACCCGTCGGTCTCCTGCAGGTCGAGTGAGCTGCGAGTGCTGACGAGGGAGGACGACCAGGAGCTTCAGGAGAAACTCAGCCATGGCGACTGAGTTTGTCCTGGTCTTGCAGTGCACGAGAATGTAGAGGAGCATGCTGAGCGTGTCGAGGAGGATCGTCTTGCTAGTGTTGAGCCTGCCGAACATGCCGGAGGTGATGATGCTGTCAGCTAGCGCGTTACACGTCTCCTCATCGATGGCAGCGGCTTCGAGGGTCACGCAGACCCACAGGACTTGAGTCAAGTCTGCCGACATAACGACCCTGCCAACAGCATCAGCTGCTTGACTCGCATGCTCCTGCAGGCATTGCCGATCGAGAAGAAACCTGACCACAGCTGGCCGGATGCTCTCCCTGGTAAAAAGTTGTCATCGTCGTCGACATCATTGCAGTGACAAGTACTGCTTCGCAAGAATGCTCAAGATTCCAACTCCTGACTTCCTCTTCGCCTTGGGCTTTCCCTCTACCATGTCCACCAGCTGCAGCATGAAAGCATCGTCGGGCCTCTGCAGCAGAAGCTCAGGGACTCTCCTAGCTCGCCTCTTGTAGCTCGCACGTGAAAGATCTCAGATACGGCATGCATGGCTTCCCTACGAACTTCAGCTGACTTGTCCCCCAGGAGAGAGAAGAGGATAGGCAAGACTTTGTCTCTCTCCTCCTCCCAGAGCAAAGGGCAACTGTGAACGAACTTGCACATTTCTCCTCTTATCTTCGGGTATACGTCACGCATCTTGTCAGTTGATCAGTGTTTCTTACTTCTACATGCTGATCTTCGAAGATTTTGACCAAAGCTCCTGGCAGGTTACTTGTTTTGATGGCTTGTTGCCCATCTGAGTAGGGACAGTCAGAGCTCGTTTATACCAAATCGTTGTCAACCAGGCGTTCTTTGAAGATTTGACAAAATCTGCACGATTCGCATGATCGATGCTGCTTCTGGCGTGTCTTGCACTTGTTTGCTGATGATTCTTCGATGATACATGTTGACGAACTCTTTCAGGTTAGCAAGAAAACGCTTCCCTCTCAAGCTTTCATGAATTTCCTTTCAAAATTTCAGGCTCGATCAGATCGACAGGGTATTCACCTCATGGCTGGACAAGATCGAGAGGGGATAAAGAACATGCAGTGAGTAAATCTTGGAAGCAGCATCGTGAGAGTCTTCTAAGCTCGTGGTGCTGAAACATCCCAAGAGCTTCTGGTCCTCGAGCACCAGCACCTCCTCTCTTACGATGACTGTAAGGGCAGACAACAACATGGAAACGCACTGGCAGACGTCAACTGTTAGTTCCCGCATACAAGGAGCTGATGCTTGCCTGCTGCCCAACAAAACTTCGCACGTGACTCCTCTCTGTGAAGTTGACGATGGCGATGGCAACCTTCAAGAAAGCTGAAGTTCTACTAACGCATCTCACAGGAACATCGTCAGCATTTGTTCACTTTACCTCCCTTGGCTCTGCTCCAGCATCCTCAGCATCAGCTGGGTGTACCTGTGACGCACCAGATGCTGCTGGACCTGCTGGACTTACTTCCAGAGCAGACAGCGAGCTGATCACCTCATGGTGGAACGAGAGGCCGAAGACAATGTCGACAATCGTCTGGTTGAGAGCTTCACTTCCAGTTCTATGAAGCATGTATGCATCAGCCAGTGAGAACGCTCTCAACACCGCAGGGATACCTTGCGAGGTTGTTGAGATTGTTCATGATGGCGTCGTTGGTAGCGACACGCAGACAGACATCTAGGACAGGTCAAGCCGTCAACACCAGCAGCAGTCTCACCTGCAGATGTCGGGGCAGAAGTGAGAGCGCTGAGAAGACACGCTGAGATTGAAGTCAGCATGGTATGACTGCAGTACAAGTACAATCTCGCCGGCGCTGTACTGCAATCTGTGCTCATCGTACGTCATATCCATTCCCACGACCGACAGGAGCTCTTGAAGTTTTCCCATGACACGTGTATCGGCAGCGATCTCACGTTTGGCGTCTGGTGAGCATTCACCGAGATGTTGTGTTACGATCACATCACCTGCGTTGAGGAACGCGAACTGAGTAAGAGCTCCCATGGAGTAGAGGCACAGCTTCGAGTTCCTCCTCGCCATGTTCCTCGCGATCTCACGTACAAAGTGAGTCTCAGTCGTCTTTGACAGTTCAAGGATGGACAACTGCTCGTGACATTGATCAAAATCTCTTCCTCCTGTCCTCATCCTCCCGCGTTCCTCTACCTGGTTGTTCCTCCAGAACGGGTTCCAGGTAGACAGCAGGCCCCAGATCGCCCAGGTGCCCTTCTCTGCTTCATCCTCCTCCTCTCTCAGCCTCTCGATCAGGATCTTGAAGCCGAGCTTCGACGGTCTCTGCCTCTTGACGTTGATCTCCTTGTCCTTGCTTGCCATCGCTTTCTTGACGTCGCTCCGACCATCATGTCACGACAGCAGCAGACCCCGCTCCTCTCCTTTCCTCTCCTTTCCTCTCCTTTCCTCTCCTCTCCTCTCCTCTCCATGCCCCCTCCTCCTCCTTGTATCCTCCTCCTCCGCCCCCTCCGCCCCCTCCTCCTTGTCTCATCCCTGTCCTTTTTCCTGTTTCTGCTCTGCCTCCATTTTTCGCTTTCGTTAGGTCCGTTGAGACTATTTGGCCCGATAGTCACAAGGATGGGAGCAGAGCAGGACGGAGGGAGGGGGAGAGGGAGGAGGAGGGGGAGGGGGCAGTGAAGACTCGTGGACGGTGAGACTGCCTGCTAGGGCAGATGGAAGAGGATCGGCACGTAGCCAGGAGGCGATACGATCAGCTGCATGGTAGGAGAGCAGGAGACAAGAGTAGAGCTTCGAGGATTCTCATCAACATTGACAAAGTGAGGGAGTGAAGTTCGACTATTCAGCACTTGCTTCCTCTGACTTCGTTTCCTTCTCCTCCCTGCTCGCTTCTTCAGTCACGATCTTCCCTTTCCGTTTCATGTCCTGCACAGTCCCATCAATACGCGCGGCAAGCATGCAAGATCCGGTACCTGGATGGTCAACAGTTGCATTCTTTGCTCTTGGTTGAGATTTCTGATTTCAGCCAACTGCTATGCATGTCAGAACCGTTACTTCCCGTCTCTTCCTCTGCACTGCTATCAAACATCCTGCCTCTCCTCCTCTCAGCACTCCTCCTCTCCTCTCCCCTCCCCTCTCCTCTTCTCTCCAAGTTCATCACCGATCGTGTCGGGTCAACCACCCAGTCCTTGTCTGTCGTGTACTTGCTCAGCTGAGGCTCAGGGACGGGATCTTGAAGATCTCGGAGACTCTGTCAACGAGTGAGAAGACGAGAGACCAAGTGCTTTCAGACACCTCTGAGAACATCTTCGACTTGGAAGTCGTGGTTCCCTTCACAGCATCCATAAGTCCATAGCAAGAACACGTGTCGACGAACCTCTCTCTTCAGCGTCGCCAGCGATGGAGGTTTCGATCGCAGCACGTGCTTCGAGTTCGAGTCTGCAGCAGCCACGTTGCAAGGGAGCTGTCCTCCTCGTTCTATCCAATCCTGGAACTCCTTGCTGGAGATGATGACGGCAGACACGGGGATGCTGAACACCTGGAGCATGCTTCAGAACATGCTTCAACATGGAACAGGTCAGAGGAGCGTCTCGCTCCCGTCTTCTTCTCACCTCCTTCTCGGTCTCTATCACAATTTCGTCCATCACTCTCCCCTCCTCCACTGCGTTGATCTCGATCTCCAGCACGACACTCATGCCTGCAGCCACGGCTCCAGGGTTGAAGACAACTCTCACGTTCCGGTTGTCAGTCTGCTGTTGGTGACAACTTGTCAGGTCAGCAGCCGTACAGACGATCGTCACTTGCCTGTCGGATTCGATATCTTGCCAGCTCTACCCCGATGTTTGAAAGAACGAGTTTGAACCTGTAGACCTGTCTCTCTGTTATTACCTCCTCCTCCTCCTCCTCCTCCTCCTCCTCCTCCTCCTCGTCACCTTCCCGATCTCAAGCTGGCCGAAGTTTGCTCGTCTAGGACGGAGGCGAAACACCCTCGTCAGCGACGCCTCGGTCATCATGTCGTCGAGCGTGATGTCTTGACTCGCGCGCGCGGCATCCAACATCGCCTTTGTCCATTCGTCAACACCATCACCATCACCATCACCATCACCAGCATCAGCACCGCCGCCACCACCTCCACCTCCTCCAGCCCCTTCCCCTCCCCCTCTTGCTGCTTCCAACCTTCTGCAGCACTGATGACGTGTGGGTTCGTCGCTTCACCGGCAGCTCGTGGACCGCGTACTGCTCGTTCTGCTCGTCTCCAGTCAGCAGACCCGTCGGCATGCGAGCACACATGGAGCCGCACCACTGTTGCGTCCGCCTCGTGCCGAGTCATGTCGGGGATGGGATGCTTGCGCGGGCGGTTCAAGATGTCGTAGTGAGCAGGACGAAGATGTTTGAGGTGATAGTTGGTCTTCACCTTGAGAGACGTGAGGGAAGGAAAGACGAACAAACAGAAACAAGTCATGAAGGATTGAGAAGTTGCTGGTGAGGAGGGGAGGAGGAAGGAGAGGAGAGGAGAGGAGAGGAGAGGAGAGGAGAGGAGAGGAGAGGAGAGGAGGGGAGGGGAGGGGAGGGGAGAGGAGAGGAGAGGGTGGACTGTCACTTGTTCTCACCCTCCTGCTGAAAGGCTCGCTGAATGAGCTCGATTCCTGCTGCATAATCGCAGGCATGGAGTGCATGCCTGAGGTAGGAAGCTGCAAACCAGTCAGGGGAGGCAGAGGAGGCAGAGGAATAGGCGATGCTTTATGAGCTTGGAAGAGGAGGGGATGGAGGGGAGGAGGGAGGGGAGGAGGAAGGGGAAGAGGAAATGGAGAGGGGAGGAGGGAGGGGAAGAGGAAAGGGAGGAGGAAAGGGAGAGGGGAGGAGGAAGAGGAGGAGGAGCGGGAGAGGAAGGAGGTTTGAATCGGGAGGACAAGAGCGTGTAATCACCTGGTTGACGCGAAAGGAATCTGCAGTGTTTGATCGCTGCTCGTCGTCGTGGACAACCTCGAAGTGATTGTTCTCCTCGCCCTCCTCGTCCCCTTCAGCTATCTCCTCCTCCGTGCTGGGAGAAGCAACGGAGGTCAGAGGGTGAAGGCGCGCAGGTTTTCTCTTGTTCCTACCTCTCCCTTCTCCACGATCGTTTCTCCTTGACGATTTTCTGTCGACGAGTGTGAGGTTGGGGGTTGACAAAAGAGGAGGAGGAGAGGAGGAGAGTTCAGGAAGGCATGGGAAGTAGGAAGAGGAGCAAGGAGCAGGACAGCAGGGGAAAGCAACACGTAGCAAGAACGATGGGCAGCAAGGACAGGAGGAGGCAGAGCTCCGATGGATCAAAGACGAAAGCGAGGCAAACAGAAGGCAGAAGCAAAAGCAGCAGGCGATCGATTATGGTTTGACGTCAGAGGAAATCAGGGTCCTTGACCTTTCTTCCCGCTGGCCCGAGGCTGTCCAGGAACTTGTTGCCCTCCTCCGAGGAGAAATAGTTCGGTCGAAGGATGCCTGGCAGGAACAAAGTGACTACCCTGAAAGTTTCTCTCTCCTCTCCGTGAGCGTTTTGCTTCCCAACCTCACAGCATTTCACAGCCTCCTCTTCCTCCCATTCAAACTTTTCCCAGATCCCTGGCACACTCTCGATCCTCTCCCCTCCTCTCCTCTCCTCTCCTCTCCTCTCCTCTCCTCTCCACTCTGCTCTCCTTTCTTCTCCTCTCTCCTCTCAGCCTTCCAGCTCTCCTCCTCCCCTTCTCCCCTGCTGTCTTCCTGATTCCTCACTTGGATCCGACGGCTTCATAACACCGCGGAAGCTTGACTTGGGAAAGACGGCAGGGGGAGCGGTAACGACGGGGAAGAGCGGGTCATGGAGGTGCCTGTGCTCAGCGAAGAGAGCCATCTTCTCGCGAACCTGCGGGGAAGGAGCGGATCAGGTTGTAGAAGAGGACAGATGGGAGAAAGGAGAAGGGGCGGGAAGGGGGACAGAAGGAGTAGGAGAGAAGCGAGGAGAGGAGGGTGAGGTCGAGATGATGATCGGGACATGGGCGGAGAGAGAAGGAGGAGAGAGAAGGAGGAGAGAGAAGGAGGGCGGGAGGAGGAAAGCAGGAGGGAGGCGGAAGGCAAGGAGGAGAGAGAAGGAGGAAGAGAAGAGGGAAGTAGGAGGGGAGGAGGAGGGGAGGAGGGAAGGAGGAGTGTAGGAGGGCAAGGAGGAGGAGGCTCACGTATTGCTCTATCTGCTCGCACTGACATGTCGACTTCCTGTGGTCTGCTATTGCAGACAGCAAGTTCTTCATCTCCTCACTCGACGATGCCGCCTCCCCTCCCGTCCCCTCCCGCAGGAAGACAACCTCGCTCGCAGCCTCCATCGCCTCCCTCCACTTGTTCAGATCTTCTCTCTCAACCTCCTCCCTGCACTGGAACTGACGCCAGAGGACAAACTCATCTTGGTACAGGTCAATATCGAGCGAGGACATGCAGGAGAACTTCATCTCCGACTGCTGTCCCCCCACACTCTCCTTCCTCCCTCTCGGCCGCATGATGGTGCAGATGCTGCCGAACCCTGCCTTGGAGTCTTCCTCCTCGATCACCAGCAGGTTGCTCATCCTGGCGTTCAGCAGATCCTGTTGCGCTATCGCTTCGTGCATCAGCTCGAAACCCGACCCGTCCCTCCTCATCGCAAACAGCCGGACTACATCGAGCACAGTCCTCGTCCGATCGTCATCCTCGTCCTCCCTGCTCTCCCCCGCCATGCTGATCTCGTACTCCTCCCCAAACTCGTCCACCTGCTTCATCGCGCCCGCGGAGAGGTCAAACTCAACCGAGTTCGGCACTTTCTCCTGCTCCGCCCCTCCCCCCCTCGTCAGCTTCACAAACTTCCCCTTCATGCTCAACTTGTCCACTCGCAGCAGCGTCGCATCGTTGCGGATGATCTCGATCAACTCGCTGCTGACGTGGATCCGAGTACCGTCGGGGCTGTCAGCCGTCCTCCCTTGCTGGTCCTGACAGACGGCAGCAAACTCCGGGTATCGGGCATGCAGCCTCTGGTTTTTCTTCTCGATCTCAACACCGTTGCTGTGATGTACCAGACAAGCATCGGCCGAGGTCTCAGATAAGACCACGTAGCTCCCGTCTGACATCCAGCACACCCGCTGCCCCTTGTCAACGTCAGTCGTCACTCCGACCTTGACAGGCTCCAACTTGTCGAACTTGTCGGCTCTATGCCTGACCACATCACCATCCATCGTCGTCCAGCGCCACTCCGTGTCCCCGTACCTTCCCTTCACCCCGTCCTCCATCACAACCTCCGCAGTCCCATCGCACGACTTGAGTACAACAAAACCAGCTCTGTGCACTTCAAGGCTATGCAGAAGGGCGCTACTGTGACTGTGCTGACCCTTCCAGGACATGGTGCCGGTGGAAGGGTACGTGTGGGGTCTGGACTGAACGACCTTCTCCTCGTTGACAAACGAGATGAACAAACCGTCACGAAAACTCACGTCCACCAGCATCGCCTCCTCCTCCCTTCTGATCCAGACGCAACAGTCATCACCATAGACAATCTTGAGCGAGCACGGAAGGCATCGCTGCTCCTCCTGCTCCTGCTCCTCCATCCTCTCAATGTGGATGTTGTGCTCCCCGACCGTCGTACGGAGGTATTTGCAACCTTTCTTTTCTCCCCGGACAGCAGTTCTCCCGTTCATCATGTGAACAATGTCCTGCCTGTCAAACAACAAGGACCGAGACGCGTCTAGCTCGTAGATCACACTTGGCTTGTCAGGTAGAGGAAGGCTCTCGATCGCTGCATTGACCTCCTCGTTGTCTTCCTTCTCGCCTCCCTCTCCTTCCCCTTCCCCTTCTCCTCTCGCTTCCTCCTCCTTCCTTCTTCCTCGACGACTTGCAATTGCGACAGACCTGAGATGCGAAGCTTGAAGACGATTGCGTGCCTGTCTGAAAGTGAGAAGCGCAGCGATCATGGATGTGAACAAGGCGAGAGTAAATATATCAAGCATGCTGTGATGTGACGATACAACCCGAATGAAAAGAGGAGCGAGTGCAATGAAAGGAGATGGAGAAGAGGTTCAACGAGACGACAGAGACCCTTGATAGAGTGGAGGAGGAGAATGAGGAAGGGTGCGTGGGGGAGGAAGGGGATGAGGAAAGGGCAGGAAGGAACATGGATGGATGATAGGATGAACTTCACCTGCATCCACTGCCAGAACCCGAGATGACAAGCAGCGCTCGCCGTCCATGATCGCGTCGACCTTCGACTGGCGGGGCAGGAGGAGGTGAAGGCAACGAGGAGGAGATCTTCGCGCGGATAGCGGTGAAGGAGGACATCAGGCTCGACGTCTTGTCTCAGCGAGTTTGCCAACTGAAGCACGAGGAGCATTCAGGCCCTGGAAGAAGACACAGGAAGGGGAAACAAAGAAAGGAGGAGGAGGAGGAGGAGGTGGCGGTGATGGTGGAGGAACAGGAAGTAAAGGAGGAGCAGGAGCAGGACAAGGAAGAAGATCTGAATACCTGCTGTTGCATCATCTCCTTGCTCAGCTCTTCCACGAATCTAAACTTGCGTATCTTTCTGCTTTCCTTCTCCTCCTCCTCCTGAATCCCCAGCATGGCCTCGAACTCGAGCAGGAGCAGGCGGAAACGAGCCTCCTCGCTCGTCTTGTGGGGAGGGAGGACAGCATGGCTGAGGTGATCTGCGATCTGATCTTCTTGGAGGTGGAAGTGATCGGCAACCTTGAGAAAGAGCCCCCCCTTCTCTTCAGCTTGCAGCAAGGCATCCGCCGACACTCGTTTCTTCTTTCCCTTCTCTACCCTAGCAAGCCGGCTGTCCCTCCAAGGCACAACATCCTTTGCCTCTTCTCTGCGCTCCCCGTCCTTGCTGCGATGAGGAATGTCTTGCAGGAGGTCGTTCACATCAGCGATCAGACCAAGATTCTTCTCGTTCACCCTGAACGCCTTCGCCTGCTCTCCCTCCCCATCGTTGCAGGAGAAGGCAACCTGTTGTAGAACAGCATCCAGGATGATGGAGACGGAAAGACTTTCATGGGGTATGTGGGCGAGCACCTTCTCGTAACAGTCTCTGTCCACCTTCACTGGCCGCATCTCCACAACTTTCACGTCCTCCATCCAGTCCATGTACCCAATCCGAGCATTAACTACATTGATGAGACACCTTGCTATGTTCTGTACCAGCTGCTCCGCCGATTCAGCAAACAGGACCATCTCGAACGCACAATCTGCTGTTGGATTGTGACCGTCCAGTCTCTGCTCGCTTGCAAGCTTTTCCAGCTCATGAAACAACCTCTCCCCTCCCCCCCCTCCTCCTGCATCGGCTGGCGCGTCGGCCTTCTTCACAAGAATCATCGCGTCGATCCCGCAGTCAGACGGGAGCTCTCTGGCTTCCTCCACGGATGCCGGCATGTCAAAGCTGAAGACGAACTTCCTTGGACCCCGAGGGATGCGCAGCAGGATGTCAGATGACTCGTCGTTCTCAGGGGGGTCAGGAGGGGGATCGGGAGCAGGGCGCTTTAGGATCGATCTCAGCAGAACTCCGAAGATGTCATGTGGCATGCTCGCCTCTCCATCAATTTCGCCCGAGGCTTTCTTCTCCTTCCACTCGTCCCTCTTTGCTGCTGCTTCTGCGTCATCGTCTGCTATCTCAACCTGCTCGCGCGTGAGCAGGGAAAGGCCGCGGATCGATTCTCCAGCAATGAGCTCCCGCAGGCTGGAGAGATCGACCCCATCCTCTGCCATCACAGAGACGGCGAATGAATATCGCATCTGCATGAAACGATAAGGTAAGACCTCTCCCGACATGGTTGTGTAGCCATTCGCAGACAAGGAGATGGTACATGTGTTACTTGAGATACAGGGCATTCGGACAGCGAATTATCACTGCTACACCAATTTTCTCTCTTACTGCATCCTGCCCCCCCCCCACCACTCCTCTCCTCTCCCTTCTCCTGCTTTCTTCACGTCCCTCCCCTCTTCCCTCCCTCCTC